TGTGTGCCTTGTAAGTATTTGGTCAATAACAAAAGTTCATCTCAATACTTTGTTATATACCCTTTGTTGGCAATGACAGAGGTCAAACGTTTTCCGTAAGTCTTCACAAGGTTTTCACACACAGTTGCTGGTATTTTGGCCCATTCCTCCATGCAGATCTCCTCTAGAGCAGTGATGTTTTGGGTCTGTAGCTGGGCAACACAGACTTTCAACTCCGTCCAAAGATTTTCTATGGGGTTGAGATCTGGAGACTGGCTAGGCCACTCCAGGACCTTGAAATGCTTCTTACGAAGCCACTCCTTCGTTGCCCGGGCGGTGTGTTTGGGATCATTGTCATGCTGAAAGACCCAGCCACGTTTCATCTTCAATGCCCTTGCTGATGGAAGGAGGTTGTCACTCAAAATCTCACGATACATGGCCCCATTCATTCTTTCCTTTACACGGATCAGTCGTCCTGGTCCCTTTGCAGAAAAACAGCCCCAAAGCATGATGTTTCCACCCCCATGTTTCACAGTAGGTTGGTGTTCTTTGGATGCAACTCAGCATTCTTTCTCCTCCAAACACGTCGAGTTGAGTTTTTACCAAAAAGTTCTATTTTGGTTTCATCTGACCATATGACATTCTCCCAATCCTCTTCTGGATCATCTAAATGCTCTCTAGCAAACTTCAGACGGGCCTGGAAATTTACTGGCTTAAGCAGGGGGACACGTCTGAAACTGCAGGATTTGAGTCCCTGGCGGCGTAGTGTGTTACTGATGGTAGCCTTTGTTACTTTGGTCTGACCATATCCAGGGNCGACGTTCTGGTGCTCTCCGTCAGAACTGCACCCCTGTCAGACGAGACATATATCACGTGATGACACGTTAGGCTCGTGTTGTGTTCAAGGACCCTGACCTTGGCCAGGAAAAACAGGCACTCGCTTTGTTTAATTTGTTTGCGGTCTAGATTTCTTAATTTTTTTTCTTTTTTGCGTGTGTTTATAAATTACCCCGAGGGCCGTACCAAATGGTCTTGCGGGCCGTATACGGCCCGGGGGCCGGAGGTTCCCCACCCCTGGATCAGTCGTCCTGGTCCCTTTGCAGAAAAACAGCCCCAAAGCATGATGTTTCCACCCCAGATCGAGGGCGATTATCAGTGGTCTTGTATGTCTTCCATTTTCTAATAATTGCTCCCACAGTTGATTTCTTCACACCAAGCTGCTCACCTATTGCAGATTCAGTCTTCCCAGCCTGGTGCAGGTCTACAATTTTGTTTTTGGTGTCCTTTGACAGCTCTTTGGTCTTGGCCATAGTGGAGTTTGGAGTGTGACTGTTTGAGGTTGTGGACAGGTGTCTTTTATACTGATAACGAGTTCAAACAGGTGCCATTAATACAGTTAACAAGTGGAGGACAGAGGAGGCTCTTAAAGAAGAAGTTACAGGTCTGTGAGAGCCAGAAATCTTGTTTGTTTGTAGGTGACCAAATACTTATTTTCCACCATAATTTGCAAATAAATTCTTTAAAAATCAGACAATGTGATTTTCTGGATTTTTTTTTCTCATTTTGTCTCTCATAGTTGAGGTATACCTAGGATGAAAATTACAGGCCTCTCTCATCTTTTTAAGTGGGAGAACTTCACAATTGGTGGCTGACTAAATACTTTTTTGCCCCACTGTATAATCACGCATTTAATTGCTCTCATCCCGACAGCTCGATTTCCAGCTTTAAATCCTAAAAAAGGCTTTGACAGCTTTTTCGAAAGACCAATTAATACATTTCCTGCTGTGTGAGCACAAACTCTGAACCTGAATTAAACCAAGAGCTTCAGGAAGTGATTATCATTCCAATGTGAATTACACTCTAAGTAAAGTGAGATAAACCTATAACAGAAGCTAATGTCCTAATCCATTTCAAATACGGCCCACTTTGACTTGCATGTTCTCTGAGTTATTTCAATTGGAGGACTTCCAACCCTGAAATCACGTATGCCGTTTCTGTGATATAAAAAGTACCTGATGACAAAGTCGTGAGAGTCGATGTCGGGCCCACAGCTGCTGTTCAGCAGGATCCCTGAGTTCCCCACAATGGCGCAGCGCTTGTGATGTTGGTTCTTCATAGGGGATACAGTTGGCAAAAGACGGTAGAGATTTTCTGAGATGTTTGTGGTGCTGTGGCGATCAAACACATAGTGGATGATATCTCCCGGCTTCAGTGTACCCTTCAGAATAGAGATGTCTCTCTCTGGATCCAGAAATCTTAGAATGTTCTTTCTGTGAAAACAGAAAATAAACACTGGTTACGAAACACTCTTCTTAGTAGCGTGTGAAAATATGTGGAGATAATTGTAGAGAGTGATTAGCCTGCCTGATGAGGTTGGAGAGCGTCTTGTTAAAGGTCCAGTTGTTTGAAGAAAGCTTGGCAGTGTGATTGTAGCTTGCACCGACAGGCTTTACATCTTTGCTCACTCTCGTCACAGCAGTCGGATCGACATGTGCCGTGGCCTTTCTAATTGAGAACAGAGAGTCATGTTATACACACTACTGTAGATCTTAAAAGCGATAAGATAAGAAACTAAAAGTCTTGGTTGATGGTCAATATAGTGTGCGATGTCTTCCCTTTCCCCCCCCAATTTAAGGGTGATCTATCAGTATTTAGGGTCAGAATATAGCACCCTTTGTGAAATTTGTGATTTTAGTTTATAGAAACAGTTGTGAAATGTAACTGAGAACACCTACATTTACTCAAGCACATATGTCGGGTCCTTGTTCTTAAGTAAAAACAGCAGAACTATTTTATGCAAATGTCTACTCTATTATATAAGTGTATTTTTTGCACTGCAATTATTTTATAGATTTAGCCACTAACTACATTGTTCAGCAACATTTTGGATACATAATAGAACACTCTTCGAGGACATTTAGTGCATATTGAGTACTTTGAATAGATCTTAGCAACAAAACCTTGATATATACATAGTTATTCAGCACTTTTACTGGTAATGCTTACATAGATCATGCAATGTTCAAATGATCTGATTATTTCCTCCAACAGTAAAAATAAGTTTTATTTATTATTTTATTTATTTAGATTTATTTGAATGGCAGATGTTTTTGTTAACATATGGATGCCAACACAGTGATTATAGCAGCTGCCATCTTGCTGAAAAAAAGTAACGAATGACTCACTGTCAAAGCTGGAAAGGGCATTAAAAAAAACAAATTGAGATAAATAATTAGATTTCAGACCTATGTGGTTTAGGGATGGCCCGATGCATGTTCATTTTCTTCAAATGTCCGGGATTTCTAGACAGAAAAAGAGAGGATTTAGATTGAATTATGAATCACGTGCTGTAGCTTGGAGCTTGGGTTGATAATGGACTGATGATTCAAACCCTTCCTGTAACCATATCCTGTAACTATAATACACTTAGTGTATTCAATAGCTAGCGTACAGTACTTCCGCCTTTTAAGACAGAATGCTGTTAGAAAGCATGCATCAAGGTATTTCTAAGCATCCACTCTAGGCCCATTTGCTGATGTAATGAAGGGAAATGTGACCCTAATGGAGCCCCATTATACTGAATGGAGGTTTTCTTTTCATGGGGAAGTGAGCAATCTTTTTACAGGATTGTTGAATACACCAGGAAAAAAGAATTTAGTCAACATTCTGTATGTGCATTCAGATCAGACAGTTTTACAACCATGACCTTGGTCACGTGTCCATGAAATCCTGACAAGCTGGCTGTTTTTCTTGAAGGAGAGAGAAGCTGAAACAGATGAACGCTGCTCTGACAGACGGCTGGGCTCGTTTCACAATCCTGGTGGCTTTAAATATATTGATATAATTGAGTTAAGCTGCATTTATGCAGAAGTTGAATTGGTTCTGGTTCTTCTCCCACGGCGAATCTCAAACCAATATGACCTCATTACAACGTAAGCCACAGCCGGGTAATTGCATTCAAAACAAAATGCTCTTGCTGCAAGGGAGATGTGAGAATTAAAAAGCTCCACAGAGACATGAAAGAAGTCGATTTTGCCATTCAGGTAGCACAGCATCTTAAAGCGGTGATGATAATGATGAGGAGGATGATGTTGCACTGTGGAGGTTTGGTTGTTGTTTGACAGAAGTATTTGGAGTGCTAAATTGAGCACCCATGTTCTTGTGGGTCAAATGCAAGTGGGGCATCTGTGTGACTGGAAATAAATCTGCTGCACTGCTCAACATTTCAAAGTCTGAAATTGAAACGAAAAAGAGCAAAGCCTCTTTTGTTACCGTTGCCCCCTCCTCTCTTTATGCTCTACCCCCCTCTCTTTTGCCTCTCTCCCCTTTCTCTGTTACACACTACACACTCTCTCTAGTGTAAATGTATCCTATCCCGCATGCAGTCTGCTACAAGACAAATAGCCAAATCCTTGGAGACCCTGCTTGGGCAGGCTGCTGTCCCCGGGAACAGCTGCTACTGCTGCACCCAAGTGTTACAAATGTAGAAATCACATAGTCCACATTCAACTCCAAACTTAAATTCCATAAAGATAAGTACATTCATTTTACTCATGTCCACAACTATCACTTTCCAGTTCCTGTGAGGAAGACAACCTGCTGGACAAGAAAACAATGGCCACACACACATTTACACACTCATACAAACACAATGCATTAGGTAAATTACGGTGTGCTACTTACGCAGTTTCTTCCTCCACTTCTGCAATATCGTCTATTATGAGAACCACAACGAGCAGCGTTACAAAGCCGAACAACAGCGTGCGGAATACGAGCGGCATGGCTCGGCTGAGGGGGGCAGCCGGGGGTCCCTTCTTCCAGCGAACACTGTGTTACATTCACCTTCTTCTGTTTCACATTTACACATCGAAAATCCGCTTAGCCATCTCTCCCATTGTTCTTATCGCCGGAGCCGGACCCTCCCAGGCGAGCTGCGTTGCTCTCCCCTCTCCAGATGCAGATTTCCTGTTCCCGATGCCGCCTCCACTGCTCCCCGGCTATTCCCCAGTCAAACTTTGAAAGCGTGCACCTACACAGCCTGCCATGCGAGCCGCGAGATGGAGACCACATGCAGTCTTAAAGGCGCAGCGGCCAACTACTCCATTTTTACCCCAGCTGCTTTCCTCTCACTCTCCAGGTGTTGTGACCGCAGTGTAGAGAAGGCAGGTGCACAAGGCAGGTTTGCACCACTCATATCCAAACAGACAGTGTGGATTAATCTGATGTGGAAATTGAGGTTTGATTGCAAGCATTTTTTAAATAGAGGTCAAATATTCAATGAAGCTCACAGTGAGAGTCCCAGTAGACACTTTCTGAATGAAATGGGGCTATCTTTTTATAGATCAGGTCACAGGGTTGGAGGGTAGGCTACTTAATGTGCATTTGTACATTTTTAAGGAACTTTGCTTGGGTATTTAGATATTTGGATATTTAAACTTCTATCCATATCATATCAGAGAGAATTTTGTATATTATTTACACCACTACATTCATCTGACAATATTAGACTTGAAAAAATATAAGCTTATGCATTATTCAAGATTTAACCATTAAGTCCCAATGTTTTTTTGCCTGTAAAAACTTGTCTCCAGTTGTTAGGTCCCCCTAATTTCCCATCCATACTTCTCAGATGGTTTCATTTTAAAGAACTGTTCAAGACTCAAAATGGTCCAATTAGTTAATCATTACAAAAGAGCAACAAGTAGAGAAAAGCCAAAAGCAATTTGTGTTGGAGACATTTTTGTTCTGTTGTTTTTCATCCAACCTCTCCAACCACCCATCCCACGACCCCCTTACATTTATTTTGTGACCCTTTAGAGGGGGTCTGACTCCTCCATTGGGAACCACTGGACTGAGTATAATGTGTTTAAAACCAACTCAGCCTCGACCAGCTACAACAACAGGTTCCTTTTGCTGATGGCACTTTTTTTGGTGCAGGAGTATTTTTTAAATATTGGTTATCATTTGTTTTACTTAAACAAGGTATCCAAATCTTTCTTCCATTAGTGGAGCAGGTTTTTTAAGCAAAGGTTAAACTACTTTTTACAACTACAGTAGGCCTACTACTACAGTTGAAAAGTCATAAATATTGGACAGCGCCTTCTTTAAAAAAATGTTTTTAAGGTTTCATTTCTCAGTTCTTGTTCATCACTCATAATATTTCAGTTATTTTCGGGCAGAACTGCTGATCTTGGAAAAGGAAATGCATCAGACCATCTTTATATTACTACCACCGGCTCTGCTGTGTCTACCATTTCTTTGATTATATATTTTCTAAGGCTAACGTTTTTCCTGAAAAAGCTGGCTGGGTGTGATTGCTTTTTCTTGCAGTTTCTGGCAAAAATGACTGCTACTCCTGTAAAACATGAATGTAAATGTTGGAGTGACAACAAACACATATTTCACTCAAAGCTGAAATGGAAAACCTCTCACATCTAGCTATACTGTATGAGAGATTATTAGTTTCTTTTTTTATATATATATTTATTTTTGGCACATGTTTGGATTGGGTTCAGTTTTTAGGCATCAATTAGTGAAAGCAAATGTAAAGTGTAAACTCTGTCTGCTTTCAAATGTCATGCATATATTATCTACACAATTGCATTTCACAGACATGTCTAAAGGCCAGATTAACATAAAGTGAAAGGTACAGCTGGAGCCTTGAGAGGGCGCATAATGACAAGACTCATAATCAAATTCATCCTTGTAATAATATCTAAAGCTAATTTGAATATTCTTAATTTATATACAAGTGATGTGACACTTAATGTATACTGTCAAATCTGTCATGCATGCATCACATTTGCATTTATCTCCTAGTGAGTGATGTTGTTGTTGAAAATCAGCATTTTGGCATGAAAATATAAATGTCAGCAGACTCACTCACTCACTCACTCACTTCACTAGATTAATATTCATTGGATCATTTACAGTATATTCCTCACAGTGACAGCTCTCGGCGGAGGATTTATTTCTTTCTTTTTTCCTCTGGAGTTGTTGTGCAACAGTTTGTCTTACTAGAGCACCCATTAAGCTAATTGGAAATGCTTGACTAAAGCAGCAATCTCTTTCCTGCAGCAGTTTCTATTTAAAGGTTGCTTATTTTGTGTGATTTGACTTTCAGCAAGTATGCTTTCCCCCCCGAGTGTTGTAGTTGCATTTTGTATGTCTCTGATGTGACGTGCATCAGGAGTGAAGTGTGTATCAGAGAGGGCTGTTAACTGAGGCAGATGCTGCTGATACTGTAGCGGTTGTCACCTGATGTTTGGCTTTTTGGAGTTTCTGTGTTTTTGCTAGACTTTACAGACACCTAACAACCACACACATGAAGATACTATAGCATACACTCTCCTTTTTGTCACTTTTTCCATCACTTGAGCTTAGAAATGATAGTTACTCTGACATGCTGTTTTCATAAGAGGCTGCTTCTTCAGCTGCTTCAGTACACAAGCCAAACATTTTAAATAAAGTTGTGATTTATTATTTACCCGGTATGAATAATTTATTTCACCCCAATGATATCTTTGATTTACTGAAACTATGCTTTTCATTACCACACAGCAGACTGTTTTGTTGTATTTGATAATTTTAAGATCAGGCAAAGTAAAGCTGCCTTGATGAATTTTTGGAACCAAAAGAAAAGGCTTGGTTTTGGCTCAGTTCTCAGAGGGACTTATTAATAGCGTTGGTTATTTTTGAATCATTTAAACATTTCAAGTGCAAGCTTCTTTTATCAGTCTTCACAGCTAAAATTCACAGGACATAAAATGTGCACTGTGTAAAAGCAACACCGATACACACAATAAACCAACCTCCCCCCCCGGACCCTCTGCAGCTGTGAAAGACTGAGGTCAGCCTCTAATGGGCCGTGTGCAGGTTATTTATTGAAACGTAGAGGGCAGCCTTTTGAAGTACTTTGGAAGTGTGGTTGTGGGCTACAAAGAAATGTTATATTTTATTTCATGCTATTTACTTACATGGACAAAAATGCAGTCAACTTTTCATTCTTGTGTTAAGAAATGGAGGTCGTGACATCAGGTGCATAGGCAAAAAAGCAAAAACAATCATAAGAGAAAATAAAATATAATTGTTAATATTTTGTATCGTTATTCTTTTTTTCATTTTTTATTAACATTTCCAATACTGTATGTCCCATGTTTTTAGTGATTGTATTTACTGAATGAAGTGAAACTGTATTTAGTGTGATTTACAAAGTCTGTCCAGGGACTACAGATGATAAATAGCCTCTTGGCTAACTGAAATGTGATGAGTTATTAAATACGTGATGTATTGGCTGTAAGAAATACAATAACAAGTGCTTGTCCATCCACAGATCATGACTTTTATTTTTGCCTAGGAAGGGTCCTTTTTTCCATGAGAAGTCCAGAGAGATGATCACATCAGTCCAATTATAGGATCTATGAGTTATTGCAAAAAATGATTTAAAATCATTGTTGGTAAAAAAAACACTGGAAATGTTAGTGCATTATTAAAGGTAGTTATATATGATCTTTTATTTATTTTAGATCTTGCGGTTATACACTACAAATTCACTTTTCAGGCTGCCTTCTCTTTTGTCCTTTCTTCAGCAATGTTTGCTGGATAATTGGCGCGACGGTATATAAATACATTCTTGTAGACTTTCGAGGCTTGTGAAAGTCCTGCAGCTTTTTAAAGACAATTAAAATATGAGTGGTAGCTGTAGATGACCGGCATCTTTGTTTAGTTGAGAATTTGTACAGTTAGATATTAAAAACATTGAGCAACATAGTTGATTTCTCTGAAAGAGTCAATGGCTCCCCTTTGAACAGTGACTGAATGATACAAAATAATAGCTGAACTAGAGGCTGTAAATCTGCTGTGCAAATAAAAAAGTCATGTGTGCTTATGTGGTCCATACATGTTTTGGTCAATACCTCACATCTTACTGATTAATCACTCAGTACGATATTGAGGAAATATGAGTTGTGAATTTTGTTGTGCCATGTCCCTTTTTGATTCCCACACCCCCCCTCCTTGTTTGTGTTAATCCATTTTTGTTTGTAAGTGTGTAGTATTGTGTAGAACAGAATAAAACCAAACACTGGTCAGAGCAACTCTTTAAAAAGAATGATTCTCTGAAAAAGAATGCAAAAGTCACATTTTCATTTATTTTCTGAAAAATAATTTATTTCCAGAGTAAAATAAACAATATGTTGCCATACAAAAAGTGTAAGAAAAGGGACAAAGTCAAAACTGTAAATGCAGGGAAATCAGTCAAGTAACAGGTCGTACAGTGTGTGTCGCGTTGCCTTAAAGACTTCTTCAAATACATGACCAGGAATATATTCAGTGTGTTCTATGAGTTGTTTGCTTTATTTGACCTGGCACACAAAAACTCCTGAAACATTTCTCTTACTTTTATCCCATTTATAACAGGCTGTTTTATATAACCAAATAATTCATCATACACCTTCCGATTTCTATGAATTGTCCCAAATCTAATGTGACACACGCATCTCAGATCAAATATAATTCAAACTGTCCTTTCAAATACAACCTAACAAAACATCCTGGGCCTAATGACACCTATATATATATATATATATATTACTCCTTATCTGTTTTTACCAAACACATAGAAATATTACTCTTGACATTTATTATTTTTTCCACTAGGTGAAAGTCAGAAGAAAATAGAATTAACATTCTTATATGAATAATCCCTTATTAAGACGCGTTAGGCTGAATAAAGTCTGCAAATGTAAATACAAACATGTATATGGAACAAACTGCTGTAATGAAAAACAAACTTGCAGTCTGACACAAAGCTAGTAATGAACATGGATGTATCAGATGTGAATTGCACCTATGAGACAAGACTTCACAGTCTAGTCTAAATAGTATCAAAAACAGTGCCTGTGATCCAGCAAGATATAACTGAACAGTGCATGATGACATGAAAACACTACCTTGTTTTAAGTTATTAGACTTAATATTCGGACAGTTAAAACATCTAATAGGCCACTATAACCACCCAGTCTGAGTGTTTCTGTTCTCTTTTAGAAGAAACTCTCCTGCATTGAAACAAAATGCATTAACTCATGAACTATTAGTTTGTAAACACTTGGCAACTTTTTACATATGAATAACTGAAGAATCATCCAAACTTTTAGCATAACAATCTCATTTTTGAGAGAGTGACAGACAGAACACACAGTGCACTGACTGAAAAGGAAACTGCCATTTTCCACGCCGATCACTGGAGTCAAGACAGACCTAAAACGATATGGCAACTAGTTGTAATAGCTTCAAGTCCGCTCACTAACAATCATCGAGGACTGAGCCAGAGAGTACTGTAGTCGTCTTCTACCACCGAGTCAACACAGGAATTCACCGGCAACACTGGACAACACCTCGCCGATATGTAAACGACTAAAATGGACCCTTGAAAGTTTGCAGAGGACGTGGAGCTCAGTGGAGAGCAACGTCTTCTGAGACCTGAACGGGCCATTAAATAGATTGCCTTTTATCAAAAAACGTTATCCTTTCAAGAAAAGAAGAAAAGAATATTCCTATGAATGTCCATATTATCTTTTTCTTGCACAACAAACTATAAAACTGACTCCATATTTTCACAAACCTCGTGGTCCTCAAGGTTATATATAAACTTTGTCCTGTCGACTAGTTTGGGGCCCTCAGTGAGAGAGGGGTAAAACTCGGTCGCTGACATGTAGCCCTCGTTGCTTTTGATGTACTTCTTATAGTTCCTGCGCAAGCAATACCATGTGGTGGCGTATAGGAGGAAGGCGATGCCCTTGAGGATGATGGCGAGGCTCACGTACAGATGCCTGTAAGCTATGTTGTCGTACAGCAGGCAAGCTCCCCTATCGCCGCAGTCTGAGCTCCAGAAAAGGCAAGTCGAGTCGATCCCAGCTCCAAAGATCAGAGGAGGGGGGATGAATCCTGTAAAACAGAAACACTGTCTGAGCCCACTAACTCTTTCTGTTCCCAAAAAGAAACATATGGGGAAAATGTGTTCCTTGACACAAAGAAAGAGAAAATAAATCCTCATTTATGATCTGTAAGTAGCTTCTAGATCATTTGTTTCAGACTTTCTTATTCCCAGCACGTCCTGAATGTGTGTTTGTTTTTCGATGTAATTAACTCTACTGCTGTACGGATGATCTGATTCGTCTCCATGTGGAAAAGCAAACAAAGCCCTTTCAGGTTGATCGAGGCGTGTATTGGCGTTACTGTGGTGAATGCCTCAAGTGTTAATATTGAGATAGAAACATAGAATCTGAAATCAATGATCTGATAAAAGGTCTTACCGAGGAGTCGTAACAGAAGAAACAAAAGTCCCAGTGCGTACGATTTCAGCTCAGGGCTCACAGTCCTTCAAGAGAAAAAGGTCATTTGTTTATGCTTATTGATTCTGTGCAAGAACAATACCTATTCACAAACACTTCACACGCACATGGAAATCATACATACCTGATGAGAATAATAACAGAGGGCGTCTGGGCCATGGCTCCGACCAGGCTGCAGGCGCAGATCACACACAGGAAGATGAGGAACGCTTCCTGGCAGCCCGGCGTCGGACATTTCCCCGGGGTCGCTGTGGCGAATTCACTCTCGGAGGACACACAAGCACACCCCGTCAGGTTCTGTTGAGAGAAGAGGACCCACTTTAAAAAATAACAGATTCAATTATATGGAAGATGTGTTATAGCTGTAACTCACACTATTCTCACATTTGGATGAACGCATGTGATCTGTACTTGATATACGTGCGGTTAAAAAAAAAGAAGAGAAATACTGCTACAGAATTGATAGTAATATTCAGTGCCTCTGAGCTGAGAGAAATTCTTTCTGCATGTGATTTGAATATAAAAGTCACTAATCTGCAGTCAGCAGCTGATCTGAGAACAACCACAGCAACACTTAAATGCCTGGCATGCGATAGCTGACGACAGGGCTGTGAAATACTGGGACTTTTTCTTTTAAAATAGATTAGGCAAGGCAAGGCAAGTTTATGTATATAGCACTTTTCAACACAAGGCAATTCAAAGTGCTTTACAAAAATGAAAGACATTAAGACAAATATTTTTAAGGCATTTTAAGAAGCTTTAAGAAAAGTTAGTCATCTGTAATGTGTTTATTGGTGATCCAGTGGTACAATCAGAACATGTATTTTAGTAATTGCTGCCACGAGACTGAGAAAGGGGTAAAGACCTGGGAGATGCTGGACGCGATGCTGCCTGTCCTGCCTGACTGGGTGCAGCCGGCGAAGCAGGCGGACAGGTAGGTGACGCCGTTGGAGCCGCACACGGGGCTGATGGAGGAAGTGAAGCAGTTGCACTGACTGATGCACTGAGCTTCTGGTTTCTCGCCCACCCGCAGCGTCCTGGACAGAGAGAGAGGGAAACCTGAGCAGCAGAAGCACTCTCTATCAGTGACTCTATGGCTCACTTTTAACATCTCCATGGAAACTGTACTGCACAGATAACCTGCTCTAAGAAAGCTGGGCTCAGGCTATCAAATATAAAAAGTAGCAAAGCCGTAAAGTCAGATTTACTACAGGACCACCACACGAAAAAATTACTACTGAAAATAACAAGAATGAAAGGCAATTAATCCACTTAGTACACATTTTCTTTTACAATATCAACATCAGTCATGTATGTTTTTACAGGGCAGCTGTAACAAAAAATGTATCTTGGATTGGATCTAAACTCCTGGACAAAAATCTTCCTTGAAAGAAAATCTATACTATTCAACGTGGGTGCATGAAGACCTCAAATTAACCAAATGGGAAATACATTTATTTAAAGTTTAACCATTAAAAATATAAAAATGTTCAGCTGAATGTGAAGAGGTTGCAGTGTTGACGCTATGTCAAAGACGTCTATTTGTTGTGTTGCAGAGATATCTACAGAAATAAAAAATTCACATCTGCAACCCACAAAAACTAAACTGCACACTGTTAACATTGATTATACTGACATTCACAACCCATCCCTACTTAGCATTTAAAATGTACCTAATTGGGTATTACATGTGTTTAGTAAAATAACATCCATCACTATCAAAGTGGATGAAATGTTACTTAAAGAATGGCTCTAAAACGCTTTCAATGTCTGTCGCATCTGTATTCAGTCTGTGCAGCCAGGAGGAGCGCGAGGCCACTTTCTGAATAGAAACCTTTTTATAGACTCCATGAGATGACAGAGTTGTTAATAATAAAAACTATTCCCACAGCTCCCCTGTGACTGGCAGTGATAAGATTTTTTTTATTTGCACATTTAGACCCTCCAATAAAGTCCTCCAACCTTGGCAGCAGTGTTACCTTTAAGGGCTATAATGTTGTTTACGGCTCATGTTTATTTATTAGAATATAGGATATTTATGATACGACACAAATGTACAAACTATGGTATAAAAACTCGCTGAATTTTCAAAGAGTTTACAATAATATACACATTATCTAAAGTTTATTGTTTAATCTATGGAATAGCTTTCTCTGCTGAATCTAAACTAATATGTTGTTTTTTCAATTTAACTAACTTTAATTTACCGCTGGAGATTTACTATTTAATCCCATTTTACAAACAATATCATTTTTGATCTGCTGAACTAGCTCGTGGCTGTTTAGTTATAAAAGCTACATTGTCATGCTTTATCTTGAAAATTGGCGTTGTAAGACCAGTTATCCAGGAAGTGAAACGTTTCGAAATCAAATACATTTAAGACAGCCTGACCCTGTTTCACTTTCAGCCCAAGGTGTCATGAAGTCATAGGCGCCGCGTGAGGCTCAGGTTTGGGAAGGCTAAATAACTTTTTTTACCTGACGCTGCCCGCCTCTGGCGTCTATAGAAAAGAGATCAACTCAGTGAAAGCACCGCCTGCTGACCAATCAGAGCTCAGTGTGCGGAGTTTAAATCTATCAAGTCATATTACAGGATAAAGGAAATACAGTTTAAACTGCCGTAGCCTATGCAGAGAAGACGCCGACGTGTCGCACTTGTCATTCATATCACATCATCAATCAGATCATCGATCATATAGTATCACAATATTTCCTTATCTGAGTCAGCTGAGCCGTATCTGGCCATGCATCACTTACATTGTCACATACTGTATGCAGAAGTATTATTTTAAGCAACACATTAAGTTGACGAAACACTCAAATGTAATTAAAGTCAGATCCACTCGTGTCTGGGGCAGTGATATCATAAAACTGTAGATTATTTATTTTTTAACCAGTTGTTATTCACCTTGCAGGTGCAACTATGTGGCTTGTATCCTGGATGATATGTTTAAGTCATGGATGTTTAAAGTTCATATTTGTCTAATATTAGTTTACTTTTCATTAATGAAGTATGACGCTGCGCTGTCAATACACTTGTCTCTGTTTGTGATTGGTCAAATGTAGCTAACCCCGCCCCTTTCACGTGAACGCGCTCTCAGCTGGAGAGAGAAACCCTGGCTTGATTTACCGAGTTAATAACCAGCGTCGTAGGACCGCTTAGCGAGATCTCGTTTGTTAGGGTTAGTTAAGATAACTCAAACATATCCAGGGTCTGTTGAACTGGCTTCGTAGTACAGGGCACAGGTGGCTGCATAGCAGCGCTAATGTCAAAGACACAAACATTATATTTTTTATTTTACCAGGATTCAGTGACACAAATATTTGGGAAGGCTTAGCCTTCCCTAGCCTACAGTACCCGCCGCCCCTGCATGAAGTCACTTTAACCCTTTACATCAGATGAATACTCCTTTAAACCAGTGGTTCCATACTTTATTTGGCGTTTAATCCCCTTGGAACAAAAGATGTAATTGGTTTAATTACTTTTCCCCAATTGTTTTTGAATATATTTTGAGATTTTTTATCAAGTAAGTAAAGCAGTAAATTACAAGAAATAAAAAAAACAGCAGCTGGCTTTTTAAGAGTCCTGAAATAGTGAGATAATACAGTACATTTTAAGGGGGAAAGTATTGGGAGAAAGTCTAGTATTAGTAGTTTAGTATAGGTAAGTCGGACTTAATAATATTCAATTTTTTCCGCTTTCCTCATCTCATAACTCCTCATCCTGTATTCAACCTTTAATACAAAGCTTCTCTCTTACTCATTGCCGTATGGGACGGTCACTCCTGCGACGGGGCCGGTGTCGCAGCCGAGGAACAGGATGCAGACGTAGCAGGCGGTGGAGATCAGGTTGACCAGCATGGCCATGCGGATGGCTCCCAGGGCCGAGAGGTTCAGCTTCTTCACCAGCAGACCGCCCATGAAGATCCCGAGGCACGCACATGGAATCGCTGTCATACCTTTAACATCAAGTTGAACAAACCCTGTTTATCATACTGATAAACTGTGTATAGTGTGCTTGTGCTTGTTTGCTGTGAATACAGACCTAACAGCTGGTTCGCTGAGGTGGTGGTGAGGTTGAACTGCTGCTCCAGATATTTCCCCAGAAACGCTGCAAAGCCAGCCACGACCGCGATCTCCATACAGGCCGCCAGGATGATGCAGGTGAACACCGGGTTGGACAGGAGGTGCTTGGTCACCTTAGGGATCACTATTATTAAAGAAATAAGGAAAGATGATCATTAATATCTGAGTTGGTCAAACGGACAGACGGGAATGTCTTATTGCCTGTTTGTTCCTCCTCTGATCTCATCTGATTGAGTGCTTTTAGCAGTCTAACAACATAAAATGAATATATAATATAGTATATATAATAATAAAAAAGTAAACCAATTACTTTGTGGATACTCAATGGATAAAATACAGGAGTTTTTTTTGTGTGGACAGTATGGATAATAACTAGTTTAACTTGATGTCTAAAGCTAATTTTGATGATAGTAATTTTACTCAAGTAACATTTCCAGCACAGTAATAATTTACTCAATAAAGACGGTCTAAGTCTTATCCATTTCCGACCAATTTCAACCCTTACAAACTGTTTAGTGTTATTTCAATTTGACCAATAAAAAAACATAGAAAATAAATCAATAGATGTCATGCATTTTAAAAATAGATTGTATTTTTCTTGCATCTCAACACTGCAGTGCCTCTCTGGATGCGGCACACTCACCCCTGAGCTGCTGACAGCAGGTGGGGCTGTTGGCAGGCTCGTGGTTGCGTACAACACCATTGCTGGGCTTTGGAGTCTCATAGTCTGCACTCAGAGAGGGAGGCAGCATCACCTGCTCACTCTCTGCCCCCTCCTCTCTCTCCTTGATCGGCAGTGACTTGGGGAAACCAAACATGAAGAGAGCCGAGATGAAGAGTAAGGCACCACACAGGAGGAAGCCGGCCCACCAGGCCCCGATCCACCGCGGGTCTTCTGGAGTGATGCCAAGCTTATCTGTGGAGAGGCACAGCGGAGGTCAATACATCACAGAGCGAGAGAGAGAGAGAGAGAGAGAGAGAGAGAGAGAGAGAGAGGTGACGGTGAAATAATTCAACACTGGAGAAATATTGAACTCACCAGTGTCGATGAAGATAGCATCCACGTAGAACTTAGTGCAGACGGAGCCGAGGATGAAGCCACAGGCAGGCCCGAACACGAGGGTAGAGAAGAGGATTCCTGCATAGAAACAAATATCTAGTTAACTGAGTTGTTTGGGTTCATTTGACTCACCCTGCGCTTTCAGAAATATGTTTTTAGTGATAAAAAGCAAGCCCAAAAACAAGGAGGCAAGTTTGATTAGAACAGCTGTGTATATTTAACTGTGGGTACCAAGCCAAAGTCACAATATGATCTTTGTTATACAGTTATTGCCTTCTGGGTAAGCAATAAACCACCTCTGGTACATACTGTATAAGAAGCTCTTATGTTCTCAATGGCAATAAATGTTGGGAGTCAGTCGATTAGTTATTCCAACCTTTGAACATATATTGCAGATTAACTGTAACGCTTATGTTTATCGTTGTATTACAGTATTGTATATATATTGCGTTTATTGGTGAGAACAATGTTCTGCTCTGAAGGGACAATAACGTTTTATTTTAAAAACAAAATGGTGGCATGAAGTGACAAGAGAATTTAGGAATTATGAAAAGGTACAAATAAAAAGTTACCATTTTACTTTGAATGCAGCATTGAGACCATTGAGACACATCAAGAAGCGCCAATCATCCTTTACCCAATAAAATGTCAAAAAGTCTTTCAATGTTTTTCTTTGTCCAAGCTACAATCCAGCAAGATATTGAATTTAAAATGATATAAATATAATAATTGAGAAGCCAGAACCAGAGAATATTCTCAATGTTAGCTTCATTTCAGCTTTACTTTCATGTGGCCTTTCCAGGAGTTCGAGTGTGAAGCAAGACAGCAAACAGTGAAACATTTTGGCTGTCATGACAGATCAAATCAGCCAGTTAAAAACCACACGGCAAGTGCAGCAGAGGCAAGTGTACTCTTTATAAATCACATGGCCCGTCCTTCTCAGGGAAACGCAATGAACAAAGAGACACACTGTGAGGACGACACCTGACAACAGAAACCAGCTGTTTGGTCCCAATCTGCTCCGACTGGCAGCTTGAAGTGAAAAATGTGGAGCTATATCCCAAATCGTCATTAGCGCACTGTCAGCAGAGCGAGAGCCGGCGCTGTGACTCAGACTGCAGGCCGATAATGAAGACTCAAAGCTGCATTTGGGAGACACATTTCTCCATGACGTTATATCCTGTGATCTGATGTATTCTTAGACTGTACACTTGGACTGTATCTGGCACACATGGACCAAACAGATCATGCTCTAAGTTTGCGACGATAACTACAAAAAACCATCAAGACAAAATAATGTAATCTCTGCAGCTGTACTTCCTCCTCCAGCCCTCCAGCCCTGCAGCATTAAACCCCCCCCCCCCACCTTTTTACTGGCTGCAGGTTGGCCTGCAGTTTGCTGCTATCAGCACGCAGCCTCCAGTAAGATGCTGTTCGGATGCCAGGAGCAGCCACTTAATAAACAAGCGTGGAAACTGTGACTAAGCTCTGTACGTCTCTGCTGGTGCTGAGAGTGAATGCACGGTCTGCTTCCTGTGTTGACCACCCACATAAAGAAGGAAGGGCGTCAACACATTCACATCATTGTAAGCTCATTCACATGATAGTTTATTCTTCACATAAAGGAAATGGCTCACAGACTTGTTAGGTGTGGCTCCATACCTACAAGATGGTATAAACAGCCTCATGTAGGCAAGGCAAAGTAAAACAAAAGAAAAAGGGGGCTTTCATGTTGGGGTGGCAATGTACCGGTACTGCTTTTTTTTTTTCATAAGTACAGAGCCGAAACTTCTTTGCGGTTGACAGTCAGACCAGCACGGAAATGAACAAAGAAATACAGTAGATGTGTGTCCATGAGGCGCCAGAGCATGACAGGCTTTTACGTCTTGCTTCTGAAAGCTTCTGTGCCTTCATAAAATGAAAAAACGTCTAATTTCCTCTGCTGACAGGGTGGATGTAAGACTGAAATCAAAGTTTGAAACAATAAATCACAAAGAAGAGCATTTAACCTTCTCTATATACAGACAGGAAGAGGGGTTCACACACATGACCGAGCTTTAGTATTTCATCAGAGTTTCCAGATACTAACGGAACTGAGCCGTTGAACGGGACTTTCACAATGGAGGGCTGCACTCGCTATGTGACTTACTAGTTTGCCTGTGGTGCTGCAAACTCTCTGTTTTGAGTGTTTCCTTAGAAACTAAATGTTGTTTTCCCATAGCAACAACATCACAATTGCTTTCACCACAGGAAACCTCAAAGAGGAAATTCAGTTAGTGAAATCACCTTGCAGGAAATGACGGTTCAGTTAGACCACAAGTCCACGACCACAGAGAGAATAAATGTTTCCCCGGAGATCCGTACCTACCCATTGTTGCTTTTAGAGCTCTGTCTCCTTGATGATAACATGGTGCCATAGCGAGAGCCTCACATGTGGAAGAGATCACTCATTTATGAGGGACCATGCCTTCTTATCAATCTGCAGCTTCTGCACGAGAAACAGGGCCAACAGTATTAAGAAGTTGGTGATAATCTTCACATGGAAGATTAGGATATTTCGTTTTCTTCTTAAAGTCAAAGCAAGCAGAGAAAAAGCATCCAGCAAGTTGAGTCTCCCACAATAGGATTAAGCTGGCATGAGCCTGAACTTGAAGTCATAACATAAGCAAAGTCCAACGTTGCTTCAGTTCTTCAGCTTTTTTCTCTAAGAACCAGAGTAATCTACTTATTGTGAGGTGCTCCAAATAAAAAACCTTCTGTTTATGTCTTTGGGAGCTGCTACAGGGAAGCATGTTAGATAACTATGTGATCTCCAGTGTGGCTTAATGGAATCATTTTGGGACTTAGTTGATGTGCTTTCTTGCTGAGAGAGGTATCAATCTAATATCAGAAAAAAAGAGAATTAATACAATTATTTCCATAACTGTAAAACCTTTCCTTTGAGGTCTTCTGTGCAGGAAAAAAAAGCAGAGCAGAGAATATTCCATTTTATGATGGGATAAAATGAGCAGATTTGACTACAAAAGGATCTGGGCACTAACTGACAACCCTGGGTAATTTATTATAGACATGTAAAACCCATCTACCTTAGTGTTGCTGTTATCCTTATTACTATCAGGTCAATTCAAATAATTGGCCTTTGCTCTCAGGTCATGCACATAAGAACTGTGACGGACTATACTAACGGCCCCTACACACGGCGGCGTGCGTTGTCGCTTTCCGGGGGGGGGGGGGGCTGAAACTCGACCAACAACCAATCACATGAATCTCCCGCCCCAGACACACAAGCACGCGGTTTGATTGGCTAGAGCTTGCACTGGCATATGATTCGATTGGCTGACGCCTCCGTCAAGGCGGCAAAAGTAGAACATTGCTCTACTTTTGCAGCGAGCACCGCGAGAGAAGCTACGCTTTGCTCCCACAATGCAGTTCGGCGAATCGTGACGTCACCCCATTCAAAGTGAATGGGCAGAAGCGTTGAAGCGGCAACGCACGCCGCCGTGTGTAGGGGCCTTAACTGTAGAGAGAAGTATTTCATGTTTGTCACAAGAGCAGCAGAGAAACAAAAATTCGAAGTCAGACACATTACATTCCCATGAAAGATAATACAGTTCCACAGCCGTGTGTAATCTTTGTGATACACCACTTTCCTAAACGGCCTTGAAATGCCTTTTTGCTTCCAGCGGTCCTGTTATGAGATAAGCACAAAACAAACTAATTTGTTCATGCTGTAGTTCACCAGAGCCTTTTAGTATCCTGTGAATTATACTCTCAGGGGAGCATGTCAGATGTAATTCAATAACAAAGCTGGGCTCTATTGTTTTTTGCCTCTCTAATTTGTTTAGAGACCAGTAGAAAAGGCTTGGAACGCTACTGTCCATGAGGCTGGTTCTTTTGTGGATAATTATTAAGCCACAAATGCACACCATATCCTAGAAACTATATTTCATTGGGAATAAATGTTTAATATACACATACCCAAGCATTCCCTTCAAAGAAAACTTTAGGTTTGAGTATTTCGCATGAAGCATTTGTGGTTTAGCAGAAACCGGAAAGTCATTGACGTCATGCTTATCATCTTCACATTTTGTGTTTCTTTATACGTTGTGTAACCACATATACCCTACGTACTGTGGACTTTTGAAAATGCTCAGCCAAAACACCAAGCAAAGAGGAAGAGATGATAACTGAGATAGGATGGGTGGCACTCTTCATAAAAATCACTCCTGAGATGAATGTGGAGCCAAGTGAAACACAGACACGGATTCAATACGTTTGGACACAGGGTCCTTCAGAGACTATAACGGGCATTTAAAGAATGACAGAGTTTGGTTTTATTTAGAGAATCCCAGTCAAGGGGTTGAGATTGAAAGCCAACACAGCGCGAGGTTCAACACAAAAGCTCATGGTATCGAAATGTCAGATTAATTACGCCTGCACGCCCGGTCCTCAGTTTGTTTCATGCTCTCACTGTACAAATGGAATTCCTTCATTCATCTGGCTCTGTAATCCTCTGAGCTAAATAAGAGCAGAGGGACAGTGTGATGTTTGAGGCCAAACAACAGCTTGTGCCACTTTCATGGGGGTCCGGACTGAGAGTGAGACTGAGCTAAATGATTACTAAAGATAAAGCCTAGAGCCAGAGTCTCAGCTTTCTCCATCTCTGGTGACTAAACATGAGTTATGTGTCAGAGGGGCAATTTACAGGAGCAAGAAGAGTCTTGGGATGGAAAAAGCGCATAAAGCAGACACAAGATTTCAAGCTTATGCTAAAGTGACTATAAACATTTAAGAGCACACGCTTTAAAGAGCTTTCAGTCTTCCTGCCTTGCCATTCACAGGCCATTTCATCCTCTGTGTTGGAGACATTTTTAACATTGAAGAGACTCTGGAGAAACTCTCAAACTGACCAGAATCTGACTGAACACAGACCACTTCCTGTTTGTCCATTGAGTTAAGGTGGCATCACTTGCATTGTCAATTACACAAAAGATTGAGACACACCTAAACTCACACACCACACTTACAGTAACAACCACCCGCTTCTTCCTGGCAACACGCTTCTTCCTGACAACACG